TTAAGCCTTGCAAGCAATGCAACTAATGAGTTAGCTGCCAGATGATGTATTACGAAACGAGTAAAGAGACTTGCCGATAACGAGATTGGACTAGGTATTGAGATACCGACGATCGAATCTCGGGCAAGTAACATACCGATGACAAAGGGAACAACGTATGTTGTTATGCGGTCTGACCGATAAAGATCTTCGTAGAATATGTAGGAGCCAATATGAGCATCCAGGTTCCGCTATTGGTTATTGACCGGAGACGTGTCTCAGTCATGTCTACATTGTTCTCGAACCCGTAGGGTGCGCACGCTTAATGTTATGATGACAGTTTCATTATGAGTTTATATATTTTGATGTACCGAAGGTTGTTCGGAGTCCCGGATATGATCACAGACATGATGAGGAGTCTTGAAATGGTCGAGACATAAAGATCGATATATTGGACGGCTATATTCGGACACCGGAAGTATTTCGGGTGATATCGGAGAAAACCGGAGTGCGGGAAGGGTTACCGGAACCCCCCGGGGAAGTATTGGGCCTTAGTGGGCCTGAGGGGAGAGAGAGGGCAGCAGCCCAGGAGGTGGCGCGCCCCCTCCCATGAGGAGTCCGAATTGGACTAGGGGAGGGGGGCGCGGCCCCTCTTTCCCTCTCCCTCTCCCTCTCTTTCCTTTCCCCTTCTCTCTTCCTAGTTGGACTAGGAAAAGGGAGTCCTACTCCTACTAGGAGGAGGACTCCCCCCTCCTTGGCGCGCCCCAAGGGCCGGCCAGCCTCCCCCCTTGCTCCTTTATATACGGGGGCAGGGGGCACCTCTATACACACAAGTTGATCTTCGTGATCATTCTCTTAGCCGTGTGCGGTGCCCCCCTCCACCATAATCCTTGATAATATTATAGCGGTGCTTAGGCGAAGCCCTGCGATGGTAGAACATCAAGATCGTCACCACGCCGTCGTGCTGACGGAACTCTTCCCCGACACTTTGCTGGATCGGAGTCCGGGGATCGTCATCGAGCTGAACGTGTGCTAGAACTCGGAGGTGTCGTAGTTTCGGTGCTTGATTGTTCGGGCCATGAAGACGTACGACTACATCAACCGTGTTGTGCTAACGCTTTCGCTTCCGGTCTACGAGGGTACGTAGACAACACTCTCCCCTCTCGTTGCTATGCATCACCATGATCTTGTGTGTGCGTAGGGAAATTCTGAAATTACTACGTTCCCCAACAGGAGGGGGCGCGCGTCCTGCCCTGGCCACCCCTCTCTCTCCACTAAGGCCCATCTAGGCCCACTAGTTCCCCCGGGGGGGTCCGGTAACCCTCCAGCACTCCGGTTTTCTCCAAAATCACCCGGAACACTTCCGGTGTCCGAATATAGCCGTCCAATATATCAATCTTTATGTCTCGACCATTTAGATACTCCTCATGATGTCCATGGTCATATCTGGGACTCCGAACTATCTTAGGTACATCAAAACACATAAACTCATAATACTGATCGTCACCAAACGTTAAGCGCGCGGACCTACGGATTCGAGAACTATGCAGACATGACCGAGACTTGTCTCCGGTCAATAAACAATAGCGGAACCTAGATGCTCATATTGGTTCCTACATACTCTACGAAGATCTTTATCAGTCAAACCGCATAACAACATACGTTGTTCCATTTGTCATCGGTATGTTACTTGCCCGAGATTCAATCGTTGGTATCATCATACCTAGTTCAATTTCATTACTGGCAAGTCTCTTTACTCATTCTGTAATGCATCATCCCGCAACTAACTCATTAGTCACATTGCTTGCAAGGCTTATAGTGATGTGCATTACCGAGAGGGCCCAGAGATACCGCACCGACAATCGGAGTGACAAATCCTTATCTCGATCTATGCCAACTCAACAAACACCATTGGAGATACCTGTAGAGCATCTTTATGATCACCCAGTTACGTTGTGACGCTTGATAGCACACTAAGTGTTCCTCCGGTATTCGGGAGTTGCATAATCTCATAGTCATAGGAACATGTATAAGTTATGGAGAAAGCAATAGCAATATACTAAACGATCATAGTGCTAAGCTAATAGATGGGTTAAGTCAATCACATCATTCTCTATTGATGTGATCTCGTTTATCAAATGACAACTCTTTGTTCATGGTTAGGAAACTTAACCATCTTTGATTAACGAGCTAGTCAAGTAGAGGCATACTAGTGACACTCTGTTTGTCTATGCATTCACACATGTACTAAGTTTCCGGTTAATACAATTCTAGCATGAATAATAAACATTTATCATGATATAAAGAAATATAAATAACAACTTTATTATTACCTCTAGGGCATATTTCACTCACTTCGTTAGCGTCAAATGGGCATTCCATGTTCTTCAATGTATCCACACCATTTTTAGGGGTCATAACTCTTTGTTAAACCAAATTCTCGGAGACTATCACCTGTGTATATTCACAAACATATTAGTTCCTTAACTGTTTTGTCCATAAAATCATTCAAAACCCTCAAGGGGCACTAGATGCACTAATGACACTAATTAGTAGGTGTGTGTGTGCGTGAGAGAGAGAGAGAGTCTTGCCTTCTCTTAGCTACGAGATGGTATCTTATGAAGAAAGCTAAGACATTTGTCCATTGTACATGTTGTCTTATCTTATTTACATGTTTTTAGTTTTAATTTTGCATGTCCCTCAATTTTAGGATGTTGTAGCATTAAATGGTAGAGATAACACTAACATATAATCCATTGTTTAAGCAAACTGAGTGTAGCTCATATGACTAGGTTCCTTGTGGTTAAACCTGCCCAGCCGGATTCAAGTCCTAGATTGGATACGTGTGGTTGCATTTTATTGTATATATTTCAGACTTCTCGACACTATTCTTTCGTAGGTATGGTGTGCCCGTCGATTATGAGGCATCTATGGGGACTTTATCAGTCTCAAAATATTTCTACTCGGTGTCTCAAAGGTGCTCATAAGGGTAATATCTATGTACATGTATATGGATGAGTGTGCGTCTACGTTTGTACTTTATTCCTAATAAAGAAACATTGTATAACATGCATATATTAGTGCCTTCACTAAATAATGTGCAACACACAAGAAAAGACCGTCTAATCAACCATTGTACATGCCTTAATAGATTAGCTGATAAACCTCACTTTAGGTGTGGATCCAACCTTGCACCTAAAATTTTCCAATAGGTCTTTCAACACCAGGTTTGAACCAGATGACGCCATTTGCATCTTGGTTATCATCCCCCCTTCTCGTTTGGTTGTTTGTTGGTCTCTTTTGCCCTCCTACATTAGCCACTAAGCAACTGAAGAAGAGGGAAATGGAGACTTATGTTGATGGTGAGGATTATGCCCGAGTGTCGATGGTGAAGCAACTCTGGCGAGGTGTTGGCTGCAATAGGACTGTATTGTAATCTAGTTTCAGCCTCTATATAGGGCCATTCTTGTAAAAAGGAGGACATGAATGTAAATGTTTTTTCTTTCCGAATCCTCTTTGAAGTGGTGTATCACTTTTGACATAGCCACACATTTTGGGGGGCTTTTTTTAAACACAGTACACATGCAGACGTTCATATATACGCACATACATTCATCGCTATGAACACACGCACGCATACCCTACCACTATGGTCACCTTCCAGAGACAAAGCCGGCACATCATTTTGAGATTGACAAAGTCACCACAGACGTTTTCGTAGTCGACCGAACGTCTTCTCCCACCGAACGCACATCGCCGCAAGGACCGGAAGAATGCCAGGAAAATGCAAGCGCCAATGTCAAGTGTGGGACTTGATCTCTGGTGGGCAGGGGATACTACTTTCTTCCTAACCATTTAACCACAGGTTGGTTTACGCATTTTGAGGGACCTTGGGTCGTGTTTTTCTTTTTAAAAAAGCTCCTCTTGGTTCGGCTCTTCTTTCGAGGAGCCATCCGAACCAGTGGTTCAACATTTCAGCTAAGATATCAATGGCCCACAAGTGCTGAACTTATGGACTGAGTTGGGCTCCTACATCTCACCTATGTATCAAAGAAGTAGTGCATCCAAAATCGTATGAGAAGATATATAACCAAGTACTGAATGAAAATGCTAAATGGAGGACGAGCACCATAAAACTCTTTTTTCTGAAAATTTCAAAAATCATATTTTTGAAGTTTCAGAAAATTCTAAAAAATCACACACCTTCATACGGATGTAGTACACTACATGTGTCTAAACTTTCAAAATGAAATAGATTACTGTTCACCATTTTGAAAATCATAACTTTGTTTTTTTAGTGTAGCTCTCACCAAAATGTTTCATTGCCAAACTTTATACACATGTAAAGTACGGTCATATGAACTTGTAGAATTATTTTAGGATTTTAAAAACTAAAAAAATGTGACTTGATTTTTTTTAAAGAGCTCCATGGAGCTCGTCCTCGAGAACACCCTACTCCAAAATGAAAATGCTCAAATGTAGTTTTTCCTGCTTGACCTCTACCGGAGGTACTAACTCGTTGTGGCTCTACCAGAAAGCAAAACCTTGATGTAATTTCTCTTGCTTGACCTCTTTCTTCTTTGAGCCCCTCACAAGTCACAAATAAAAGATCAGATAATTGGATTTCATACCGAGAGAGCGTAATAGTGTTGACATTTATTGTCCGTCTTCTTTCATTAGCTCAGACTTTTAAAACAACTAGCTGGTGCATGAAATCAGTTCGGTATTCGAGCCAAGTAATCTCCAGTTCAAGATTCTGCCAACATGGTATTATTTTTTTTTGCGGTCTACAGTGGTCCCACGTTTAAGGACTAAAGAAGCTTAGACCTGAGGTGAAGTATTGAAATATATTGTTTAGTTATATCCATCAGTTTAGACTTTTGAAGCAATTGGCCGGAGTATGAATTCAATAATAGTTAGATCGATACTCAGAATCACGAGATACTTTCGGCCAGAACTCCAGATCATGTATTCACCCGTGTCAAAAGAAAAGTCATGTATTTACAGCTTGTCAACCTAGCCTAACATGGGCCCCAGCAGCTGAGGTACATGACCATCCTCAGCGACTCCTCGGCGGCAACCGAGACGCCATCGACCTTGACGGCCGACGACCGGACAGCCACCACCGGCAGGCCCCGCTTCGCCGCCGCCGAGCACGGCTTGGCCACCTGCTCCTTGAGCTCCATGGCCGCGCCCAGAGTCACCGCCATGTATGCCTTGTTCGCCATTGCAAACCTCATTTCCTTGCCCTGAAAAAGATAGAGATCTCAAAAAGATACGTGCTAGTTCTACTTCCACAGTTCCACTACCTGCAACTCAAAGTCTGTCTCTCAACTATGACGTTTCTGGAGTGTTTGATGTGTGGAGGGAGAAGGCAGGTGACAGGCGAGCCGTATATATACAGCCGCTGCGACAACATGGGCTATTTTCAATGGCCAATTGTTTTGCAGGCAGCCGTGGAAACAGGTGGCGAGTAGACCACTGGTTCGTTCGATCCAGTGGGTGTGGCTCCTCATCCTGAGGCCGGTGCCTGGTTTGGATATGGACCTGCAGTTATGGTCGCTTGTCTTCTCTGCAGCATCCAGTCGATGGTTGATCCATGAAAATCGCATGCAGATACTGTTACTGATGTGGATAAGTTCTAACCGTGCTGACATGGAACTTCATCCTAATCCGAGCTTGTTGCTGCATGTGCCGCTCCGTTCTTTTCCTCTGACATTGTCAAAATAAACCATCAGGATGGGTACAGCTCTTCGCACTAGTTTGCCATTGGCTAGTTAAACAAGTGAGATAAGCATCAATCGCCAACGGATATGTGTAGCAGCTACCATTTTTTACATACGACAGGAGCTCTGCTATTATTCAAGAAACTGGTTGAAAAACAGTTTATGTTCAGACGTACTCCCTTTTAGTGATCTAAAAGATCTTTTACTACACTATTCCCTAGCAATATTTAGGATAGTTTACGGAGGCAGTACATATTAGTTTTGCACGTCTCTTTCAGTGTTTTGGAGCTCTCACGGATGCCTTTGCTTAGTTGACAAAACTAGCATCACTAGCAATATTGTTAACCGGCTAAAGAATCAACATCGTCCATATCCGTCAGGTATAATTTTGGACGTCATGTGCAGTTTATATTGTTCATTAACTAGGATTAGTTGTTGGGCCAGCCTTACCTATTAACAGTAATTAAACTGGCAAGGACTGAAGATAAGTGCATAAGTTACCAGTTGCGTCGCGTATATTATATGGATTACAGATCTTCTGAATCTCATCTGGTAACATCATTGTCGTTGCTTTCTGGTCACGCTCTACATTTTTTTTCTGCACAAGTGGACATCGCTGTCAAAAAGTTTGTTATCCTTTGGACTTAGAATATTTATGTTTCTGTTTGTAAATGTATGTCGTTTTGCATTAATGCAAACTTTCAAGCTTTTACAACTAAAATAAGTAAAGCTATCTATGTTGATTAAGTGAAAGTTGGCACTAAATGGTTCATTGTGTCGGCCAGACTTTTAAAAGTAATATTCTGACAATATTTTTCTTCACAATATATTGACAATCTTCTGTGATCAAATTTGAACCTAAAAATTGCATATTGTAGGATATGTACATGTTCACAAGAATATACATCTCTGCATAGTGAAAGTACACTAGGAGGTAATTTATGTTCTCAGGAAAGTAAATGGTGGATTTTATTGTCTCAAATTAGAGCATCAAGAGAATGCAAAACACAATAAACACACATCTGACCTCTGCACAATTAAGATGCACACATCCAACATAAATGCACGCACATAAAAACATGCCAGCAAATAGTAAATTCATACAAGACCAAAGTTATGCGTACGCGAGGAAAAAACCCCGTAAAACAATCAAATACACGGTTGGCAAAGTACAACAATGACATTGGCACCAACCATCTCATGACATCACACGGACAACGAGATTCTTCGACATCAACACCTTAAAGGAGTGGCGCTCAAGCGCATTCGTCACCGGATCCTAATTTATTTTTTCACCCTGAAGAACCAGTCTAAGTACATCCGAGCAATGTCTTCAATAAGGTAATGATGTAAAAACATCATCATTGCCAGGTACATAAACAACTCGAGTCTAACATAGGCTTTTACCCTAGAGCCCGAGACCGGATGCTCGAGTAGCACCATCACTTTTCCACGATCTCAATAGCTACATGCGCCCCGGCAGCTGCACAGCCATTCCTCCGTGTCAATCCATTGTCCATAGTTTACATCTCACTACCAAAGGCAACCACCGGATTTGAGAGGAACCCTCACAAAGACTTTTCGGTGGCCATCGCAATCCGTGGTGTGGCCACCGCTTTAGAAACATCAACGACAGAGCACACCACCTCGCCAGAGAGAGCTCTACCCAGGCCCATTGGTCCAGGGGCCAACATGGTCAAAAGATCACAAAAGGCAAATCACCATTGCTGGATCAGTAGCGAATAGTCGCTAGATCAACATCGTGCCTCCCGATTGAAGCACTATGCACGCACCGAGCACGCCAGCCGTTGTGCCTCCCGACGAGCGTCGCTTGGGACACGTCGCATAGCACGCCTGATGTCGTGTCGCCGGGATCAGAAGCCAATGTCGCCATGATCTACGCCGCCTTGTCGGTGTTGCGATGTACGCCATGGGACAAGCCGAAGGCCGTTACCTGGGAGATGCCGCAGAGCACGCCGGATGTCGTGTCACCGGGATCCAAAGCCGCCACCATCGCGATCCACGCCGCACTATCGGGTGTTGCGCAGTGCCACCTAGGGGAGAGTCGGCGATGGCCTAGGCCACCTTGCCATTAGAGCAACACCATGCCTTGCTGGACTGATCCCCAACGACCCACGCGAGAGAAATTCCCGCCGCCGCTAGCCAACACGAGCTTTGCTTGACGATGTTTGGCAGTGGCAACAGGGAGGGAGGGGCAATGGCGGCGCTGCCCGCCTGAGCCGCCTCTCGGAGGGGATGGGGAGGGGGGGAGGTAATTCATGTTAGTGATATGATATGATCAAGTGGTTAATTAAGCTAGTAAAGAGTAGGTGGAGATACTGATGGGTTCGACTAAAAAAATATACTCCTTCTATTTTTATTTAGTCCGCGTATTAGCTTTGGTCAAAGTCAAACTTTGTAAACTTCGACAAAGTTTATAAACAAAAATATGAACATTATATAATAACAAATCAATACCATTAGATTTATTATTGAATGTACTTTTCACATCATATAGATTTGTTATGGTAAATGTTTATATTGTTTTTTATAAACTTGATCAAAATTTTATAAAGTTTGACTTCAGTCAACTGTAATATACAAAGTAAATAAAAGCAGAGGGAGTACTGATGAAGGGATTAAATTAGTACTAACAGAGTAGTTGTAGGAACTGCTGTTGTGTGCCGATAGGTATGTGTAGGATATCTCTCATCTGAGAGTGAGCTTTACCTTTCTTTTCCTCCATTTTAGATTGAGTGAGCATTACTTTTCTCTTCCACCATTTTGCATAGGACTCCAGCTTATTTGAACTCAAAAAAAAACTTTTATGTAAACGACCAAATATAAAATCACCAAGTAAATCCATATCTTGCATAAGAAATGGAAAAAGCTACTCTTAAGCCGGTGGATGAACGCGCAGGATCTGCCTCTTGCGTTGCCGTCGGATCAATTCTAATCAAATGCGCACGCAGGGCATAAGTCTTGTGTAGACAATTTTTTTGTAGCAAGGGTCTTGTTTCAAAAAGTTCCAGCAACAAAGGTCATGTTTCAGAAAAAAAAAACTTTTGGTGATGAAGTTTTTTCCAGCAACAAGGTTTAGTTTTAGAAGGTTTCTGCAACAGATGTATTGTTTCAGAAATGGTTCGATGGTGAAGATTTTTTATTCTGTAATAGGGGTCTTGTTTCAGAAACATATCCCTCATTGCAGAAAGTGTCAGAGGAGCGCACGACACTAGAGCTTGAGAGGCCAACCATTGCAACATCACACATGTTTCAGAAACATGGCTTCGGTTGCAGAAATTGCCAAAGGAGTGCACGGCGTGAGCGCTTGTCGTTGTCGTGCTGGAGTAGACATAGTTGCTCGGGGTGTTGGGTCAGAGAAGGCACGATAACTCTGGTGGCCGGTGACGCTCCATGGCTGAGGCGCTCAGGCCATGACGGCGTGGCGGCGTTGTCTCTATAGACCTTTGCAACAAGGTCCTTTGTTGCACAGCCCATGAGCGCAATACTCGGCTGGCTGGGCCAGTAGATCAGAGCTATTTCAGAAGGCATCCAACGGTACTCGAGGCGGCCGATCTAACTAGATTATCATCCGGCGGACGCGTAGCACTGTCCATAAGAAATAGGCTATTTCAGTATCAAGGTAAAATCAACTTCAGTACAAAATTTCTTTGACATAATTGCCAAATAAAATAAGATATACTGTGTTTTGCACTTACAACTTATTTTGATACTCCCTCTGTAAAGAAATATAAGTAAACGTTCTTATATTTCTTAATTTTTTTAGAAAAGGGGTATTATCCCGGCCTCTACATCAGAAAGATGCATACGGCTCATAATTAAAAAACAAAAGCAGTCACAAAAATCTCCAACATCTGAAGGTACGAAAAGAAAACAAGCTGCTCAAGCGAGCCTAATCAAGAAGCCACAACCGGCTGGCAAATAAAATAGGAGCACTACATGCCTATCCTATTACATGACCGCCATCCAAACCGGTTGAAAATATCCCGAGCTACCATCTCCCATCGGGTAGACACAGTAGCCAAACGCCCCCTGGCCTCCGTTGGAGTGAGTAACGACCACATACGGATCAATGCTGTGGCCCTGAAGATAACCTGCAAAAAGTGAAAATTCGTTTTTCTGTTAAAAACCAAATCATTTCTGCAGTTCCATACTGCCCATAGCAAGGCACACACTCCGACACGAATGTGTCTTGCTACATCCAAGTTAACCCCATCAAGCCATGTTCCAAATAACATATTGATAGAGGTAGGTGGAGTAATATTAAAAGCAATATGAATCGAACGCCAAAGAATCTTAGCCAGCGGACAATCTAGAAAGAGGTGCCTTATAGTTTTGTTACAACCACAAAAGCTACACCTAGCAGAACCCATCCAATTGCGTTTTGCCAGGTTGTCTTTTGTCAAAATGACTTGTTTATGCACAAACCACATAAACACTTTGATTCGCAAAGGTACCTTAACTTTCCAGACGTGCTTCGAGCAAGGAATGACACTAGTGTTTATGACATCCAGATACATGGATTTGACCGAGAACCTGCCGTCCTTAGTCAGTTTCCAAAACAATCTATCTGGCTGCTGAGACAGCTGGACATCCATCAACCTTCGTACAAGATGAAGCCATGCCTCCCAACGATGGCCTACTAGCGTCCTTCGGAAGCTAATATTGAGAGGCGTGGACTGTAAGACAGTTGCAACATAGACTTCTCGACGTTGAACAATGTTATACAGAGTAGGATATTGAAGTGCCAGAGGCGTCTCCCCAAGCCACGTATCCTCCCAGAACCTCGTGTTAGCCCCATCACCGACTAAGATTTTTGCCCTGTTAAAGAAGAGGGGCTTGACTCTCATCAACCCTTTCCAAAACAGAGAATCAGTCGGGCGCACAGTCACCTAAGCCAAAGTTTTAGCATGAAGATACTTATTTCGCAGAATCTGAGCCCATGTTCTAGACGATCTTTTGTGAAATGTTCTAGCCGATCTAAATATCAAGTATAAAGACATAGGTAGTGTAAAAGACCCGGCAGAAGTTCTTTTGTGAAGCAGCAAAAGAATCGACAAAAAAAATTAACACATCATTAAGAAACCATCATAAGCAAGGCAGCTCTCGCAAGAGATAAACGGAAGCTACGCATATGCACTTTATTGTTCTGACAAGCCAATTAATTTATCTGTTACACAGCGAGTACCGAAACAACCAAAGGTTAGCTTGTTCACTGGAGACCGATCCTTCAAGCACAACTCTAAACTACCGCACACTAAACTAGCAGAACCTAGCAGTTTATAAGAATTATCACAACACATTGCTCAAGCCATATGCTGCTCTAGCACAAGAAGGTACAATTTACACCGAGTCGACCGCTTCAACCTGTTGTTGTGCGAGGTATCTTTCCCTCCTCTCTTTCTGCGACGAACACATGGAGGATAGATTTTAGCACTGGAAAAGGAATTTCACAAGAAAACAAAGAGCTGGAACACCGTAGGAGATCTGAAGTGATATACATACCCATTCATCAATGACAAGCCCTTCACCAACAATTTTAGGACCATTCTCTTCTGGAGGTTTCTTCCGCGCCTCAAGTGCAGCTTCTGCCTCGGCTAACTGAGTGTTCAGCTTTTCCAGTTGCTTTGGAAACAAATGGAACATGAGACATATTATTATGATTCTGTCCATGGAAGAAAGTTCTTATAAGTAACGGTGTTTGTATGATTTACTTACAGGGCCTGGGTTTTGAACATCCAAGAAAACAACCCTCAGTATCTTCTCAACCACTGCCTGATCTTTCTGCTCGTCGAACTGCAACCAACAAAAGAAGTCATCCTTAACGGCAGGGATATGAATCACAAGTATGTTACTGTTTGTTATGAAGGTAAGGTTTGAACCAAACCTATGCGCCTCTTTCAATTTACACCACGAATGGGGGACCAACAGCATGAGCATTGCCTCGTATCCAACTAAACACTAAAAGCAGACCAGGGCAAAATGGACTACAGCACTAAACTACCTAGCACTAGGATTACTCTATCAACATTTACCCTATCAAGTTCCATTCGATGAATTAACAGCATATTCTTCTAGTTGAATGCCCCCAAGCCTCCCCCTCAGGAAAGAATTTTAACTCATCCAATTTGGACATCCTAACTATACAAGTGTACGGAGAGGATTGAGTTAGCATTCTTGCATATGAAAACATAGGTCCACCCTCAACATGCCTGTAAAAAAGGCAATGAAGGGTCAAGACGCCTCCTCTTGTAAGTGGAGATGAGCAAAATCCTAGCCCTCAAGTACAAAAACACTAAGCAAAACTCGAGAGGAGCAAGAAACGAGAAGGAAAAGAAGAGGCTCTATTCCAGTTCAGGTACTCCTGTAGTCTTCATTAATTATATTATCCGGGAGTCAAACGTGGTTGAACTCGCCTGTAAATTTGTCAGTTTGTTCTTCACTCGAGCACCTCCAACAACCCACCTATGTTGTTACGAAGGACATTACACATCAGCATTCACATTATGTGAAGGAGACATGGCGAGGGGAGAGGTCAAGCCGCTTCTCTAGGACCAGTTCTGCCGTAGTTAATGGGATCTGTTTTGATGTTACACCCACTCATCCCATGTCCCCCTGGAGCTGCCATCACAAAACAGTCGATCCCTGCAACTCCCCCCATCTTACCGCCATGCCCCCTTCCTCCTATCTCTGTGAAGTATGGTGCTCAAGGGGGCAAGAACACACTGGCCAAACTGGAGGTGAATAGGGACATGGTTGACCCTTTGATTGTCTCCGTTGATAAAAATCGTGCAACAGCTTCAAATGGGAATGAACTTTTCCCCTTACCTATGTTGTGTGTATGTCTGTCAAGCCTCCCAGTATGACAACAGCAGAAGATGAGATGTCTTGTTTATATCCCCTCACAGAGGAGTTAGGGTCGGAGTTGATTTGTGCTCTGTCAACCCTTAGGGTCAGAGTTGATTTGTGCTCTGTCAACCCTTGGAGAGTTAGGGGGCAAGATCACGACTGGGATTTACCCATTTTCTCATGAGATTTACGATATAAACTAATGGTAGAGTGGTGATATGGACTTGGAATGAAATGTCTGGCCTAGTCTAACAACAATGCAATTGCAGCTGGTGTTAGGAAGTTTACCCTTAATGTTCAGTTAATAACCTACATCTACCTCAACAGTCCTTAATCGCGAAATTAGGTAGCCAATTAGGCAGGAGTACTCATATGGTAAAAAGTGAGCTTCCACCCAAGCAATTCAACAGCAGGAGTACACTGACATAAATCCCCTCCCCTCTATGTCTCAGGCAGTTAGAAGAGTTGGTTTGGAGCATCAGAAGCACATTTAGTTTGATTTCTAAGAAGCCTAATTTCACTCCAATAACTATAGCACCTGTAGGTATATGTCGGCAATTGGAAAATGTTCGCCAAACTTGCTAGAAATAACAAGCATGTGTGAAAGTAAAAGGTTAAAATAGAATGTCACAAACCAATTCTGGTGCATATTCCATGGGTCCTTTGACCTTCAAGCTCAAAATCTTGAACTTGACCTTGCACTTCTGCAGAACATTCTCATTATTCTCTGGGTGCTCGACAAACTTGAAAACTGGCAGGTCGAAAGGGAACAGAAGTAAGCACCAAATATGGACATACTGAGTAACCTTGCTGTTGCTAAGAAAAGATCCAATGTGACCAATACATTACCAGTCGCTATGATAGTCTCGCCAGGGGCAAGTATGGCTCCAGGAGGACGCATAAAGCAACTCTTGGGTGCAGTTGTTTGAAACTAGAAATTCAAAAAGACGATAACAGTCAGAAAAATATAGTTATCAACGGAGTTATTGTTGAGCACTGGATCTTTAACTGCAAATTTAGCCCATCTACCATTGGATAAGCTGCAAAGCAATAATCAGTACTAACCTTGAATGCTACATGTGACTTGCTTGTATTCTTTATCCTAATTGCACTCTTGACCTGCTTGCCTGGTTCATCTACAAAAGGCAAGCCAGAAGACTTATTAGCTTCTCTATAAAGAAGAGAACGTGTAAGAGAAAAACCAAGCAAAACTGAAGTCTATTTCTTGATTTTGCCTCCTATTACCGTGCATGCTAACCACATGTCCACATGTCATGATGTTCTGTACTCATTCAGACGAAAGTAAATTAAACAGCACAGCTAAAGCTAAGTCATTTAACAATCAGACCCGTCCTGTCAATTGAATAACTATGTCTTTTTTAGAAACACCAAAGACAACGTACACGCACACACTCACAACACAACACACACACACACTCACGCAGCGCCTACTGAAGACCGGGTCAGAGTTGCGGAGCTAATAACTACTCCCTCCGTTCCTAAATATAAGTCTTTTAAGAGATTTCAAAATGGACTACATACGGATGTATATAGACATATTTTAGAGTGTAGATTCACTCATTTTGCTCCGTATGTAGTCCATATTGGAATCTCTAGAAAGACTTATATTTAGGAACAGAGGGAGTACATAATTATGTAGAAGACTACAGTACTGCTAACATTTCAACGTCAATGTAGATACCAAATATCTTGCCTATGCATCACAAAATTAATAGTCCATTTGGCATTATGGGAGGGCATCCCACAAGACTTCGCTTCACAAACCATCACGGGATGCTTACCTATTTGTTGACCGCTTTCCTAGATAGATACTAAATTTAGACACGACAAAACACCCTTAACCCGGTAAAGGCAAACTCCCTCGCCCTGGAGATCACAGGCGTGCGCCTAGGCAACAACTTGCCAAGTGCAGCAAGAACGACATAGACTTCCAATGCTGTAGTTTTCAGGTTTTCAACTCAACTAGAAGAGTCAGTCTCCTATTTAAGGTATGGCTGTGAGAAAGAACACATCTGTTTACACTACTTCACGGCAACAAATATAGATATTGAACCCTCAAAAGCAACCAATCAACAAACTGATGTGTAAAATTGGTTTTCATCCTATGATTCCACTGTTTCCATCTAAGCACTCAGTAATGAGTGTAACAAATAACTGCCAGCAATAGAAAGTTGCCTAGACCCTAATACTGCATTGAAGGCTACTGACATGTTATAACTAGCCTACCAAAATCGTGGCTCACGAATCTTGGAAGTTCCACTCGAGATCTAAGCGTTGGCAAACCCTGTCAAAAACTCTACACACGGAAATTCTACTACGGTTTACCTCCTGCAACAAGATCAAGAAATTCGGATGGCAAATCTCGCCACAAGATCGTGACTTTCTCGGCCACCCACAGATTCCCGCTTCAAGACAGCGGAGATCGAGCGATTTCGAACCAAAAATCAACCCCGGAACTTAACGCAATCGAACGGCACTAGCCACGCTGCACCCGCAAATCCTCAGCTTTTGGAGCTCCTCACGGCCCCAACCCATAATTAAACAAGAAAGACTGGCTCAAAGAAGACATGACTTCGTCGAGCGCTCACATGGGAAGTAGAGCTTGTTGGACGGATCGAGCCGGAGGCGGCGCCGCGCCGGCAGCAGAGATTTGGCGACCGTCGAGATCCCGGCCGGCGCGGCAGGGGCGCCGCCGTCTCCGGCGACGGGCGCCTCATGGCCGTAGCGGCCGGCCGAGTGGTGGATCCCGGACGAGGAGGAGGACGACGCTGGCGCCGGCGCGCCGCTGGCCTGCCTGAAGGGCATGCGGCAGAGGTTCCAGAGCTTCCCGCCGCCGGAGTCGGCGGCGGGGGCGTACCTGTCGTCGCCGGAGATCGCCATGGGCGAGGAAGTTACTACTACCAGTTACCACGAGCGTGTAGTACGGAGGATGTGGTTGGGCTGCACTCTGCTTCGGTTCTCCCCCTCTCCCTCTCTCTCTCTCTTCTAAAGTGATCCTTCTTTCACCTCAGCTTTCGCTACAGTACATTCTCCATCCTCGATCTCGCCTCTTTTTCATCTCTTCTCCGGTTGACTTTTCATTGATGGGCTGTGGACCGCGGCTTTATGCTGCTGCTGGCATAGTGAAACTAATCATGCACCCCGGATTGATCTGCAATTTTTTTTACACACGCCTCAATTGTAACTGACGGAAGTGGTGTTACTGTACCACAAAAAAGCAGCACTGGAAATAAATGAGCTCACTCATACAGCATGTTGCGGTAAGACTTTAATCAACTAATACGGTATCTCCCAAAATAGCAAGGTTAAGGGAAATCGGTGCCGGTTGCGGTAACTATTAGGAGTACATGCTCCTGGCTCGCAACATTAATTCACTGTTTCCGTTTCTAAAGAATTCAAAACACACAGAGACACATGACTAAGTACCATCTGGTCTCTTACTTTGCACACAAGAATTGTCGAAGTTTGAGTTCAAAAAAAAATGTCGAAGTTTGACCATATTAATATGGAAAAAATATCAACATATACAATACCAAAGTTAAAAATATTAAAATTAAATTCATGACCCATTTAATGATATTGATTTTGTATTGTTGATATTTTTCATAAAGTTGATCAAATTTATTAAGTTTGACTTCAGACAAATCCTATATATGAAGTAAAAAGGACCGGAGAGAGTATTATGTTTAGACTTTTTTTAAGTGGTGTACCATGAGCTTCGGTTCATTAAAAAAAGGAGAGTTGCTAGGTTAATTTTTTTTAAACTCCAGCAAAAAGGTTACGACGCGCCCACGAGTTAGGGCATCCTGACCAACCTAGTTACCCATAAGACCAACACGCCGCCGAGAAGAGAACACCATTGAGATTGCCTACAATCTCATCATCACCATGTTTTCCCGAGCAGACGACTACGACTTCATCATGAAGGACCCATTGGAAGTGTATTGCTTTCTCAATAGTACTTTGGTGTGATGACAACAAGATTAGTGATGACTGAAGTCGGTTATCAAGTTTATCTCAAGATATTGGTTAGGGAAAAGTTTTTTTTAATAAAATTCCGCCCGAATAAAAATCCTAATAAAATATATAAAAAATTCTAAACATTTCAAAAACAATTTTCACCGTCTAAATCTATTATTTAGAACAAAGTGAACATTTTTCTGACCTAAAAATGCATATTTTTCTAATTCAAATAAAATATCAAATAAAAACCAAATAAAATTTAAATTTGATTTTAAAATTTCTCCTCCAATATTCCTCTTTTTTGAAGAAGTCATATTATCTTCTCTCTTTTGTTTTTTTTTTGATATTGGAAATATTTTGGAGAAAAAAATATTAAAACCAAATTGATCCTCTTTTCAAATTTGAGGAAAATTCAAATATGAAAATTTATGAAATCCCCAACTCTCTCCTTGGGTCCTTGAGTTGCTTAAGATTTCTAAGATCACAACCAAATATGCAAATAAAATATGATATGCATGTGATGACCTATGTATAACATTCAAATTGAAAATTAAGATGTTACAAACCTACCCCCTTAAGATGAATCTCGCCCTCGAGATTCGAGTTGGCTAGAAAATAGGTGTGGGTGGTCTTTCCGTAGGTCTTCTTCTCGCTCCCAAATGGCTTCATCCTCGGTATGGTGGCTCCACTGAACTTTGCAAAACTTAATAACCTTGTTGCGGGTAACTCTGCTCGCAATTCAAGAATCTTGATGGGTTTCTCCTCATAGGTTAGATCACTCTCTAACTGAATTGCTTCCAGGGGCACTGTATCTCTTAGAGGAATATCGGCCATCTTAGCATGGCACTTCTTCAACTAGGAAACGTGAAACACATCGTGAACTCCTGACAATCCTTTGGGTAACTCCAGTTTGTAGGTAACCTCTCCCATACGTTCCAGAACTCGGTATGGTCCTACAAATCTCGGGGCTAACTTTCCCTTAACTCCAAATCTTTTAACTCCTCGGAGTGGTGACACACGAAGATATGCTCTGTCGCCAATTTCATAGACTACCTCCTTGCGTTTAATGTCGGCGTAACTCTTCTGCCTAGACTGAGCTACCTTCAGTTTATCTCGGATCAACTTAACCTTCTCTTCGGACTCTTTGTTCAAATCTGGTCCAAACAACTGACGGTCTCCGACTTCATCCCACATTAACGGTGTCCTGCATCTGCTTCCATACAAGGCTTCAAAAGGTGACATCTTCAGACTAGCCTGATACCTTTTGTTGCATGAGAAATCCGCGTAGGGTAAGTTGTCATCCCAACTAGATCCATAATCTAGCGCACAAGCTCTCAACATGTCCTCCAGAATCTGATTTACTCTCTTGGTCTGTCCATCTGTCTGTGGATGAAAGGTTGTACTGAACTCTAGCCTAGTATCCAAAGTCTGGTGCAACTGATTCCAAAACTTTGAGGTAAACTGTGTCCCTCTATCTGATACGATGGTCCTCGGAACTCCATGCACACATACGATCCTGGTCATATATATCTTGGCCAACTTCGCGCTTGTATATGTGGTTTTCACTGGGATAAAATGGGCTACCTTGGTCAAGCGATCAACTACTACCCATATAGAATTTGATCCCGATCGGTCATGGGTAATCTGGTGATGAAATCCATGCCAAGCTTGTCCCACTTCCATTCCGGTATCGGCATAGGTTGCAGTAATCCTGCTGGCTTCTGATGTTCTGCCTTTACTATCTGACATACATCACATACTGCTACATATTCGGCAATATCCTTCTTCATTCCTGTCCACCAGAAACGCTCCTTCAAATCCAAATACATCTTGGTGTTTCCGAGGTAAATTGAGTATGGCGAGTCATGTGCTTCCTGAAGTATTAACTTCCCGATCTCCGCATTATTGGGCATGTATACACGATCCTCAAACCATAAAGTCTCGTGCTCATCCTCACGAAAACCTTTGGCTTTTCCTTTGCTCATCTTCTCCTTAATCTCAGAAATTTCCTTATCATCCTTCTAAGCTTCTCGTATCTTTCCCAATAATGTAGACTGAACCTCCATTGTTGCAACAAAACCTCTAGGAACTATCTCCAAACGAAGTTCCTTGAGATCGTCTACTAACTCCTGCGGTAATCCTCCGCTTATGAGGGTATTGGCATAACTTTTGCATCTCAAAGCGTCTGCTACGACATTGTACTTTCCTGGATGATAATGCAGCTTCATATCATAATCCTTCATGAGCTCCAACCACCTCCTCTGCCTAAGATTCAACTCCTTCTGCGTGAAAATGTACTTCACACTCTTGTGATCGGTGTACACATCACATCTATTTCCAATCAGAAAATGTCTCCAGGTCTAGAACGCATGCACTACGGCTGCTAACTCCAAATCATGTGTCGCATAATTCAACTCGTGGGGTCGAAGCTGCCGTGAGGCATATGAAACAACTCTTCCATATTGCATAAGTACACCTCCAAGTCCCAAATGAGAGCGTTGCAGTAAACTTGGAAATCCTTGCGTATATCCGGAAGAATCAGCACTGGGGTTGTAACCAAACGTTTCTTCAACTCCTGAAAACAGGCCTCATGCTACCTCTTGAGCACTGCGTTGGTTTTCCCTTGAAGAGGAAAGGGTGATGCAACAAAGTAGCGTAAGTATTTCCCTCAATTTTTGAGAACCAAGGTATCAATCCAGTAGGAGACTACATGCAAGTCCCTCGTACCTACACAAACAAATAAGAACCTCACAACCAACACAATAAAGGGGTTGTCAATCCCTTCACGGTCACTTACGAGAGTGAGATCTGATAGAGATAATAATAATAAGATAAATAGTTTTGGTATTTTTATGGTATAGATTGAAAAATAAAGATTGCAAAAATAAACGGTAACAGAAATAGCTTGTTGACGGGAGATTAATATAATGGAGAATAGACCCGGGGGCCATAGGTTTCACTAGTGGCTTCTCTCAAGATAGCATAAGTATTACGGTGGGTGAACAAATTACTGTCGAGCAATTAATAGAAAAGTGCATAATTATGAGAATATCTAGGCACGATCATGTATATATGCATCACGTCCGCGACAAGTAGACCGAAACAATTCTGCATCTACTACTATTACTCCACACATCGACCGCTATCCAACATGCATCTAGAGTATTAAGTTCATAAGAACAGAGTGGCGCATTAGGCAAGATGACATGATGTAGAGGGATAAACTCAAGCAATATGATATAAACCCCATCTTTTTATCCTCGATGGCAACAATACAATACGTGCCTTGCTGCCCCTGCTGTCACTGGGGAAGGACACCGCAAGATTGAACCGAAAGCTAAGCACTTCTCCCATTGCAAGAAAGATCAATCTAGTAGGCCAAACCAAACTGATAATTCGAAGAGACTTGCAAAGATAACCAATCATACATAAAATATTTCAGAGAGGAATCAAATATTGTTCATAGATAAACTTGATCGTAAACCCACAATTCATCGGATCTCGACAAACACATCGCAAAAAGAATTACATTGAATAGATCTCCAAGAAGATCGAGGAGAACATTGTATTGAGATCCAAAGAGAGAGAAGAAGCCATCTAGCTAATAACTATGGACCCGAAGGTCTGAAGTAAACTACTCACACATCATCGGAGAGGCTATGGTGTTGATGTAGAAGCCCTCCATGATCGATTCCCCCTCCGGCGGAGCTCCGGAAAAGGCCCCAAGATGGGATCTCTTGGGTACAGAAGGTTGCGGTGGTGTAAATAGGGTTTCGTGGTTGAGGGAGTCCTAGATTAGGGGGCCTCCGGACAGCCGGACTATATCCTTTGGCCGGACTGTTGGACTATGAAGATACAAGATTGAAGACTTCGTCTCGTGTCCGGATGGGACTTTCCTTGGCGTGGAAGGCAAGCTA